TAGCAGACATGAAGACTACGACTAATAATAATAATAATAATAATAATAATAATAATAATAATACATTTTAGAATCCTGTTGAATTTACATATCATTTCACACACACAATATATTCAGCCCTCAATACAAATATTATTACATTTATTTCTCCTCCTTATAACATGTTTCGGCCTCAGACGGCCATCATCCGGCGTTCTGTCTATGCCAAAACTGTCACACTGTGTAACATGTTCACTTATTCATACACTTGCAAATGTGGTGTATCTTGTTTAGTTTACTGATTTATATTCTATATTTATTTGCATTGATTAATTTCACTTACTTTCTAATTTAATTTTGGTTTGCTATTCCTTAAAATTGTATCATTCTTGCACTTCTGTTAGGGGCGTCGTCTACTTGTCCAAATATAGTTGTATGTCTCGGCTTAGTGTTTGTGTGTTGCTTCTGTTCATAGGCCCTTTCTTTGTGTTATCATTTGTTCCTGTTTTATGCTGTTTCCTGCCTCTGCGTATAATGTTGTTACCTCTTGCCTGTGAACAGGTTCCTTCTTGAGAAACCAATAGTGCTTTAGACATTTAAGGAATTCATCGCCTTTTATGGAAACCAAAGGAAAATGGAGTTCTTAAGACTAAATGAGCGACGACTAGTTTCTAAATAATAACTCTGCCCCGTGAAATTCGTTAAATCCGCCTTGTAAGTACAGCCATGTTCTTACTGTTGCAAGGGGGAACCTTCGCCACGTCCGGTATGTCAACTGCAGTTGATGGCGGCCGGCTACAATGTGCACCCACACAAAGAGCTACTCCCTGCCTTGCTAAAGAGTTTCGACTGCCACTGCTCTCAGTGGACTTGGACTCTTCATCTTGCTTAATTTGTTTACCTGAAACTTAAAAAAAAGTTGGCATTTTTGAGGTACTCAGTTCGAATCTCAACTGGGTTATCGTTAATCATAGTTTTCTGGGTTTGTTTAGTCCCTCTATGGAACTTCCGAGATATAAATTCAGTTAAACCAAGTTTGTTTCCTTTCAAATCCTTTGAAATTAACCAATCCTCTGAAGCCATTTTGTATCATGAAATAACCCACAGAACATCATCTGAAATAGTTACAATCTCGTATCTGTACAGACTTACAGCAGGATACCATCATAAAGTCTGTTACATTTATAACTGAAACTGTTACACTCAGTGAGCCGGGATAGCGCAGTCGGTGTAACAACTGCCTACGGACTTGACGACACAGGAGTCGGGGTTCGAGTCCCGGTAGGGTCAAGAATTTCCTCTTCTCCACGTCGATCAGACCGGCTATAGGGTCTACCAAACTTGTTCAAAGGTACCGGAGGCTCTTACCTCGAGAATAAAAGGTCAGGAGCCTGAAGATGACCACTCGCTTCCAGCTAGTGCCGAGGTCAAGAAAATGTGGATCTATACGTCCACTCCCCCATACATCTTTATGGTATAATGCTTAATTAGTTAAGCACAGGGACAACTTTATCCTTTACTATTAAACTCATCATACCATTATGGTATGTGGGGCATAAATTACATTATCACACATATCTGGGACCCTTGACGGAGTTTTGGATTCCATATTGAATTTATTGGCCACTTTAACACACGACTCGTAATTACACTTAATTATAGTGTCATCGCTGATTTCCGCTCTTTATAAATTATTAGAGAACACAAACTAATGTTCTCAGACTGTTACAGTCTCCTGGTAACGGCTCGAACAATGGTTATTCCTCTGCTTCCGTGCTCAAGTTCGCTCTGAACGGTGGCTCCCTTGCAACTGTCTCATTCTTGTTCAAGTTTTCCTCCTAAGAACCACCCCAGTATTGACCACCATAGAAAACACCGTTCCCAACAGTACCTTCACTTTAGCGCGCGGTCTGTTGCCGCGGGAACCTGTTTGTTTGCGATCGTTGCTTAGAAACGGTTCTACAATATTGAGAAAACCAACTCGCTCAATATAGAAAAGTTTATTACTTTGTTCTAATTATTTTTCACTACGTAAATCTAGAAATAAAATTACCATCACCATAAACTATGCAAGATTAGGCTTTGTGTTTTTGAGATTCATGCTAAGTTAATTTTCTCTTCCGTTTACAGGACACCCACTACCTGTAGCAGTGCCACACCATGCACTTTTCTGTCACTTCTTCTTCTATGGGTAAATCTTTCTTCAGTATTTTGACCAAACCGAATAGACGTGCTGTGACGAGCCGCCGCGACCATTAAGAACACAAATAAACTCTGTTTCCTACAGTTTATGCCACTTATATTTGTTGTATGATAATCTAATTTTACATACCCATGTTACTGCTCCTGACCGTTACAAATGGTTTGGATGATATTAATTTTGTGTATTTTCGAAACGGTTGCAGATAAAGGCATAAAACAACCCCCAAACAACGAAGATATTTATGGCTGGAAACACTGATTTAAAATATCAGCCGTGAGTCACACTGAGATTCCTGTCAATGGGAAGGGGTTAAATTTGTTTCATTCTGGTCCGTCACAGTAATAATATTCTGAAATATTTAACTTTTTCATTATGAGAAGGGAGTTCAAGTGCAGAAGGCTTGGATAGTAAGACCATAACACATTCCATGGCCCCATAGATTCCAAGACCTTATTCCTTGCGACTTCCACTTGTGGGGTATGTGTGAAAACTGATGTACGAGTATAGCAACCTCTGACTCCACAGCCCCAACGATTACTTGGTTAATGTTCCGTGCATTTCGTTCTCCAAAGTTGAGAAGCCTCCATTCCGGCGTACAAGGGAACAATTAGAATACCGCATTGACCTTTTTTTCTTATTGCTAGTGGGATGGAACTAAGTCCCTTGTACTGCGGCCACTTCTGTCCTATTGTACCAGCCCCAGATGATAGGTGAGGGTGATTGTGGAGCAATTGGTGGAATGCAGATTGGCAAGGGAAACCGAAGTACTCGGAGAAAACCTACCCCAGCGCCACTTTGTCCACCACAAATCCCATTTGACCAGACCCGGGATCGAACCCGGGCCGCCGCGGTGGAAAGCCAGCGACTAACCGCTTGAGCTATGGCGCGGCCTCCGCATTGACGTTACAAGCGTAATTAATGGAGCACATATAAAATCTTTTGTAGACAAAATTTATGCGTTCCCACATTGTAATTTTCAAAATTTCTAAAATGAACTAATTGTTTATCACCCAATCCATTTATCTTACAATTGACCTGTATTTCCTAGCGGATTGGTGTAGAGATTATGCTGTACGCTAGCATTCGGAAGTGCTCCTTTCGAAATACGGTTGGAATATCGCCAATATTGAGTGGTATTTTTCGTTCTTTCCCTCAGTACCTGCAGGCAAATTCAGGAATTATGCCTCTAGTAGACCACTACCATTTCTTTCCAAAATAATTTCGATTCATTTCGCATCCTCCCCTTGAGAATCAGCTCCAATGCACCATTTATCAGTGACCCTGTAATTCGACGTTTCATGAGAGTGAAAATGCTGTTAAATAAACGCCCCAGAATTGCATCACATTCGGTGTCACTCATCACAGCAGCTGCGGGTTGGCTGGATGGCTGAGAGTCTCTCTTTCTTGATTCACGGCAGGGGGGGAAAGTTGGCTTCCCCTCCACTGCGTCTGGACTGGCTCAGGGACCCCAGCCAGTCTTGCATCAAAAAGGTATATACCGGAGGATAAGGCGGTAGCGTAGTTGATTGAGGCACTATGCTACAAGCCGGAAGGTCTCGCGATCAAATCCAGATGAGGTCATTAGATTTTTTTTTCAATTTACCTAATCCTTCAAACCGCACTATGGCCCTGGGGTCGACTCAGCCTCTAACAGAAATGAGTACCAGGAATATTCTTGGGGGGGGGGGGAAAAGGGCGGGCGGCGCGTAAGGCTGACAACCTTACCGCCATCTATGAGCCGATTGTCTAGAAAATGTGGGAATCTCAACATCTCACAACCCTATGGGCCTGCACGGCCTCTTACAGGGATACCTTTACTTTACTTTCTTTTACCGGGGAATGTTTTCTCGGGAGTTAAAAATATTTGGACTTGAAAGTGATTATCTTGTATGGCTTTCCTGTTTTGGGAGTGCCTGAAAACAGACTCGGAATGGAAATAAATCTGAAGCTGCACGTGATTAGATTGCATCTTTATTTTATTTGTAATTACGTTTCGGGTTCTTAGGAATTAGAATTCTAATTTTTAATATTTTTGTACCCGTTTCTTTCCTTGAGTTTGGGGCTATATTTTGGCTATATTTTGTTAGTAACCTCTTGCGAAAAAGTATACGTTTTTGGTTGAAGCTCGTATGATGTTCCAAATACGTTTAAAGCATTTTAAACCTCGTTATTATAAGTTAAACTTTTTTTTTTCCAAAAAAGTGCGCCCGCTCTGCCGGTTTGCCTGTAATGAAACACTCAGACATAATTGATCCCTCCGTATTCTTTTTCGGAATCCAGTGATTGTTTTTTATCCTGTCTTCATTATGTATAAAACTTCTAGCCCAATGGTTCCCCCCATCTGGTCAATGGACCATTAGCTTTCCGTAAGATTCATACCGGTGGTCCATAGAGCAACTGGAATTACGATAAAATAAGAAACATAATTTATAAAAAGTAGTATAGACGTACCAAGAAAATTGTTGAATACATTAATTGCAGTATAGGTATCTTTCTTCTCAATTGTTTATTTATTTAGTAACAATAACATTTTATCACACTGCACCGCACAATATTAACAAGAAGTGCTGAGTAGAACTGGTCTCCTACTTTCCATCTACTACATTTTGAATATTTGTTATGAGTAGAAAAAATGCTAACGTGTATGCATAATGAAATCTACGAAACAATACCGTAAACTCGATTTTCATAGAACCTGAATTGCGCATTTTTTTCAATAGCTGTTGCAGCCCTTCCAGGGCCCAGGCCCCTTATTCAGTTCCGTAATCATTTTTTACAGACTGTAGGACTCCTTGGACGAGTGATCAGTCCTTCGCAAGACCTTTACCTAAACACAGGACAACACAAACACAGAATAAACACATACACACACACTAAACAACCATGTCCTGAGTGGGATTCAAACCCACGACCCCAGGGTCCGAGCGAGCGAAGACAGTCCATGCCTTAGAACGGGCGGCTACCGTGAACGGCAAATTTCGCACATAATAGTAAAATTAAAGTGGTAAATTTGTAGCAAGAGAAAATAGTTCATTGCCAACCATAAATTTCTGAAGTAAATATTTCGCGCTCTTGCTTATCCGTAAAAATTTCACAGTCCCATGAGGTCACGTGTCCATTCTATGTTAATTCCATGATAACATACATACGGTGTACACGGTGTTACATAAATATTTAACAGAATAATTTGCAATCGTAGAAATTTAATCTTTAGTTTATGTAATTTTTCATAGTCTTCTATGGATCCCCAAAGGGAGAACGCACATATTTCTTGCTACTAGCCATGCGTTAATTAGCTTATGAACAGGGACTCTGCCCCACGAAAATCGTCGGGACCTCTCTGTGAATATAGCCATGCTCTTACCATTGTGACGGGGTTTTCCTCCTGTTGCTCCCGGTGTGCTCTTTCTAGTATCGTCGGTGCTAACGGCGTTGATTTTGGGCGTCTGGGTTGAGTTACAGTTCCCATTTTCACAGTCATTTTTCTTCTCCGTTGTTGCATATTCTCGGCTTTCGTCGGTGACATTCCCGCTTTTTGTTTCCTCCCATACCGTTGTGTCTTGAATGACAAAGAATTATTACTTATGTAACACGTACAATCGTTGTAATATATTGAGAAGACTCTCCTAACAGCAGACTAATTTGGTTTTCATCTTGCTTGCTTTTATCGCCTGTAACAATTAAACGATCTAGTCCACCCATATACACGTAGGTGTATAATATGAATTATTATAAAGGCTGTCAAATTTCCAGTGGAAATTGTTGAGCTTGTTAATTGCCTCGTTGAATTTCCTGAATAAAATCTGTTGAAAATTTTCTGCCCACGTGCGAATTAAATGCATATATGAAAACTTCATCAAACGTACCTAACAACTTTAATAAGGGTTATTCATATTTTTGTGATGTATTGAATATTATTTTATTAAGGTCTTGCCATAGTTCAGGCTGTTAGTCGTCGGCTTCCTACCGCAGCTGCCCGGGTTCGAGCCCGGGTCATGTTATGTGGGATTTGTGGTGGACAAAGTGGGAGTGAGGCACGTTTTCTCCGAGTACTTGAAACTTCCCCTGTCAATTTTCATTCCACCAATTGCTCCATCGTCACCATCATCTGTCATCTGGGGCTGGTACAAGAGGTCAGTAGTGGCCGCAATGCCAAGTTGACACAGTCTCATCCCACAAAGGATAATATATATTTTTATTAAATAAAACATAAAAATACTGCAATTTTTACTTTTCCCCTACAAGTAATATAGTTACCTCTAATAAAATCTTTCATGGACACTTTGGAGTCATGGTGTCATCGAATATCAACTTCATATTTTTGGAAATTTCTAGAAAGACATTTATAAGGAGACAAAATTTGAATAGTAGTAACACCAGACTTTGGAGCCCCGCCATAGCTCAAGTGGTTAGTCGCTAGCTTCCCACTGCGGCGGCCCGCGTTCGCTCCCGGGTCTGGTCAAGTGGGATTTGTGGTGGACAAAGTGGCGTTGGGGCAGGATTTCTCCGAGTACTTCGGTGCCCCTGCCAATCTTCATTCCTCCAATTGCTCCATAATCACCTCACCTATCATCTGGGGCTCTTACAATAGGCCAGAAGTGGCCGCAGTACAAGGGACTTAGTCCCATCCCACTAGCAATTAAAAAAAACACCAGACTTTTCTTCCATCTCGGTGTACACTATGAACATTTTTCAACCACAGCGAATGCTGCTATAAGACTGAAGCATGTCTAATTTCGGCCATCATCCTATTCTGTTAGCGACTATTACCAATTACCATTTACCAATTCTTAACTCCATTGTACATAATGAACCTACTTAACGACATAATACCAAGAGTTACTCTTCTATATATAGTGGAAATTAGTGTTATTATTCTTTAAATTCCATATTTTTAGCAAGCAAGCACATAAATAGAACTTCACATGCTGTCGTGTTCGCTTAGAAACAAGGTACTCTGGTTAGATTATGTGTAGATTTAGATATAATTACGTGTGTCGAAATATATGAGCATTATGTGACGAACTGTCGGCTGACTGGTAGCCTGGCTTTCTTACTTTTCCCTGGAATGGAGCCTAATGAAAACGATTTTACGAGTTTGAAAAGGAAGTGCATCTAAAAGTTGGAAATTATGGAAATTAACTTTTAAAGCGCTATAGCGCTGTCCCTGAATAGCGTAAATTGGTAGGCAGTAGCTTATTGGTTTATACATATCGGACGCCCAGTGAAGAATTGTTCCAGTACTGAACAGTTAAAAAATGCACAAGTCAGGCCCCAAAGACAACTGTGATTTAAACTGTTTTTCTCGGCAACATCCCAGACGACGGCACCCTTCAACTTTATATTCTATTTATATAGATTCGTATAAGCCGTACGTTATTGAGTGATATTTTAAAGAAAATGGTAGTACAATTACCGTATTTACGCATGTATAGGCCGCAGCACAATTTTCAGACAGAAATTATAGAAAAAATAATTTTCTTGGAATATTATTTCAGGAGTAGAACACCCTGTATTACTAATTATGAATATAATTTTTTTAAAATGAAGTGTGATTTCTAATATTTCGAATATAAGCCGCACTCCAGTTTTCCTCTTGAATTTTTGGCAAAAAATGTGCTGCCTATACATGCGTAAATACGGTACTTCCCAGAATGTCGTATTTTTCTCTGTCATTCCTTAAATTAAAAAGTCTTGAATCCTGAATCACGTCTATAATGTTGTTTCTCAAGATACTCACTGTAAGCGGAGGCATGGCCGATGTTGGCTAAGCACAATATTATTACACAAAAGAAACTAATATTATAGAAGTAAGCCATTGTTGAATGCTTTGAGGCAGCAGAACGACTGACTCTGAAGTAAGGCTACAATAAATTATTTATAAAAATTTATCTAAAGAATGTTTCCGCCTTTCCTCTGTTTGAACAGATAAACTGGAGTAAAATGGACCCCTTTATATGACTCCCAGATGGAACACCTCACCTGGTGTTGCCAAAGCAAATATTTATTTACGTCTGGGATTGTAACCGCCCCTGTTTCCCAGGTTTCAGACTTCTTGCTCGAAATACTAAATTCCCATTCAAGGACGCTGACTGCAATAATGAAATTCTGGTAGGGCCGAATCAACTTCTTTTGTAGGCCGGATTTCAAAAGTCATCTAACGTTTTATTCTTTTTCCGTTATGTGGGATTTGAGGTCCTCATGGTGGGGACTATGAAGATCACCGTCTTCTGGGATGTGATATCATGCAGTCTGGTATATTTACATATATATATGAACAATTTAGAGGGGGCATGTTCTTCTGGAATGTTGATAAGTAACCAGACTACATGTCGTCATCTCTTAAAACGAAATAATCTCCCTTCTCTCCGGTAGCGCAGTTGATTGAGGCACTATGCTACAAGCCGGAAGGTCGTGGTTTCGATATTGGAGGAGGCCATTGGATATATTCAATTCTCTTTAACCTTCCAACCGCACTATGACCTTGGGATCGATTTAGCTTCTAATAAAAATGAATACCAGGTATCTTCCTGGGGGGTAAAGGGCAGCCGGCGCGTAAAGCTGACTACCTCACCGCCATCTATGAGCCAATTATCTAGAACAAGGATCTCCAAACTACGGCCCGCGGGCCACATCCGGCCCGCGATGTGATTTTATCCGGCCCACGAAAGAATTATGCAGAAATAGGCCAATTGAATTAATTTTTCAGTGAGTACTGGTAAATGTGATTCCGAGCTTATTGACCTGATATATTATACTGCAGTTCGATGGCTTAGCTGTGGAAAGGTTCTTTCGCGCTTCTTTCAGCTCAGGAATGAAATTGATATATTTCTTACCGAGAAAAACCATCACGAACCACTTTTATCAGATTCCAAGTGGCTTTGGAAATTAGCAGTTTTGCTGATCTGGTAACCATATGAACCATTTGAATTTAAAGTTGCAGGGTGAAAATAACTTAGTCTGTAATTTATTTGCACTTATCAAAGCATTCAGAGTAAAGTTGATACTTCTGGAAAGGCAAGTGAAAAATTGTAACTTTGTTCATATGCTGTACTGTGCAGAGTTGCATAAAAAGGGTGAAGCAGAATTTCCTTCCTTGTTTGCAAATTTAGTCATTTCAGATTTGAAAGAACAATTTCTGAAGCGATTTACTGATTTGGATGCCAGTGCGATGTCAAATTCAAATGGAAATTATTGAACTTCAGGAAAATTATCATATTAAAAACAAATACAAGGAAGGAAATTTGATCGAATTTTATAAATATCTGAACTCTGAGCAATTTCCAAATTTAAAGAAATTTGCTTGTAAATTTATCTCCATTTTTGGGACGACATATCTGTGTGAACAAACTTTTTCCCAGATGAAGTACGTGAAGTCGAAATACAGGACAAATTTATCCAATGAACATTTAAAGTCGCTACTTGTGATTGGTATTTCATAATTTTAACCCCAATTTAATCAGATTTTAAGAATGCAAAAAGAGTTCCGTCATTCACATTAATTGTTTTAATATAATTTGTGATGAAAATATGAACATTTGCTGCTACTGTCTGTTGTCATTAATATACGATAATTTATTCTCACGTACTTTGCATTTAGTTTATGAAATTCTGTGCTTTCAATAAAACTCATATACCTAGAGTTATTAATTTCTCATTTTATCCGGCCCGGTGAAAGTACTGAATTACCTAATGTGGCCCGGGGTTCGAAAAGTTTGGAGACCCCTGATCTAGAAAATATGTGAGCCTCGACGTCTCACAACCCTATGGACATTCACGGCCTGTTACAGAGATAGCTTTACCTTCTACCCTTCCGGTATCGTAATTAGAATGCTTCACGAATTATTAGGATTATCAAATGAACTGGAACGAGATGGAATGGACAAGCAGCGCCTACGGATTAATTGAAAAATTTACGTGAAAATTTCGTCGTAATGTCTAAAGTAAAGATAAATGGAATACCTGGACGCAAATATGGATACATTATTAAAATATATCTTAAATAAATAAACGTTATTATTTGTGAAGAATTTACGAAAAGAGCCAGCAGCGAAATCTTATCAACGCTGTAAAGAAACCTTCAGGTTAGTAAAAGCGAGAGATTGCCCGTATGGTTTGAACGTATGTTAGCGCCTCTGTTTCAAGAGCTTCTTTTTTTTTTTTGTATTGCCGTTAGAACTGAGGGTGTAGCTATTTGCAGTGCTGTACGACCCAATATTTGTTTTATGCGCCAAAGTTCGCAATACTCCTCACATCGCGAAGCGGTCTGGTGTGCGGATGATAAAACCAACGCCCTGTTTGCCCCGCAGCGAGGAGAGTCCTTATGCATTTGTTTATATAAAGCGAGCAATGTACAGTATTATCAAATTATCCTACAGTTGGAATGTACGGTCTCGCGTCCTTACAGATATTTCAAAATAGAGAAAATTATAATTGGGCATGTTGACTTTGGTTCCCTAGTTCACGATTACTTAGTTGTATCATAAGCGGCCTCCGTAGTCTAGAGATTACGTTCCCACCTCATGACTCGTAGTACGCGGGTTCAAATACCCGGCGGAAGTCGTCGAATTTTTAATGGCGGAAAAATTCAGGGAACAAGTCCTCCGGGAGGGACTTTTAAGCCGTGGGTCCCGTGACGTAGCTTTACGGCACGTAAAAGAACCTCATATGTCCAAAGGAGGTCACTGAGCCAAAATTAACGGACGTTTCCCGCCCAACAGCAGTTTCTAATACCTCTGGTAGATGGGAGAGCATTATAGATACCTCTCAGCTAGTAGAGCCGGTCTCGCTGGCTGGGCGGGACTGATGGTAAGCACCAGTACCGGTAGGATATAGAGACTGGTAGACATTATAGAGGGAAGCACAATGGACCAACACAGGTCTAAGTGCATGGGGAAATCCACCCTCTCCAATAACTAACTAACTAGTTGTATCATGTTTTAAGCCCTGCTTATGGATGTTTGATTACCAAAATTTACAACTTTTTTCCTCATCATCATCTTCTCTACGTCACAGTGTAAACAACCAAACCTGTTCTGATTTCTCAAACTATAAGATAATTTTGCCTGTGGTTCTATATGGGTGTGAAACCTGGTCTCTGACATTAAGTGAGGAACGTAGACTAAGGGTGCTTGAAAACAGGTTGTTGAGGAGAATATTGGACCGAAGAGAGATGAACTGAGGGGAGGTTAGAGAAAACTGCAAAATGAGGAGCCTCATAAGATTTACTCTTCTCCTATTATAAACAGAATGATCAAGTGAAGGAGGATGAGATGGGCAAGGCATGTAGCACGAATGGGAGAGAGGACAAATGCATATAGAATATTGCTCGGAAGGCCGGAAGGAAGAAACCACTGGGAAGACCAAGGTGTAGGTTGGTGGACAATATTAAAATGTATCTTAGAGAGGTAGGATTGGATGGTATGAACTGGATTGATCTGGCTCAGGGCTCCTGTGAACACGGTAATGAACCTTCGGATTTCATAAAATGCTGGGAATTTCCTGAGTAGCTGCACAATTTGCAGCTTCTCATGAAGGGCTCAGCTCTGTGAGTGACAGTGATAATACCTGTAAATATTTGTATGCTTTATGTGTGTAGGTTCCCAGCCTCCTCGCAGACCCAGACTGAATGAGTGTGGCATTCCTCTTCGTCTGTCGTACAAAGCAGACCGTCCCATAACAACGCTGCGTTATAACTTATCAATCATTGACAATTCTTATGACAATGGAAATTAATGGTTTTGCCATGTCATTTATAAAGAGAGCGCTACTGCAGCAGCTTACAGCAATTGAGTCCGAAACTCTTTATTCTTAAGTTCGATTGATGTGGATAAAAATTATTTCAGGTTCCCCAACTTATAAACATAATTTAAATTGTGATTTGGCAGTTATCTCCTTTTCATAATCTATATGATTTAATTTAATCAAAAGAATATTTGTTTGTTCTTTTTTTGTTTATGATTAAGATCAATTAAGCATCGGCGTTATTGGGCATTTTTTCTAACAACTTCAAAAAATGAAAAATCTTCAAGGCATTCTTGATGTCGCGGCTCCCACTTTGAGTAACGTTGGCCTATATTTCTAGGTAACAAGGCATACGGTAGGCCGGTCACCGTAGCCGAGCGGTCTAAGGCATGTACTGTCTTCGCTAGCTCGGAAGCCTGGATCGTGGGTTCGAATCCCACTCAGGGCATGGATATTTAGTTTGTGCGTGTGCGTTTTTCTGTGTTTGTGTACAGGTAGAGGCCTTGCGACAAGCTAATCACACGTCTAAGGATTCCTACCGAATGTGTAAGATCTAGAAACCTGAAGTGAACGGAGAAGTTCATGGAGGTAGTCCTAGGCCCACTGGGGCTGTAGTGCCAAGGAAAAATAAAAAAAAAATGACATACGGAATACTTACTTACCTACTCATGGAGCTGAGCCCTTCTGGAGAAATTCTGCAGCTACTCAAGAATTTCCCAGCATTTTATGGATCCCGAAGGTTCATTACCGTGTTCACAAGAGCCCTCCACTGGTCCCTATCCTGAGCCAGATCTATCCAATCTATACCATCCCATCCTATCTCTCTAAGATCCATCTTAATATTGTCCACCCACCTACGCCTTGGTCTTCCCAGTGGTCTCTTTCCTTCTGGCTTTCCCACCAATATCCCTCGTCTCCTCCATTCGTGCTACATGCCCTGACCACTTCATCCTCCTTGACTTGATCATTCTAATTATACTCGGAGAAGAGTACAGGTTATGAAGCCCCTCATTATGCAGTTTTCTCCCCCCTCCTGTCACTTCATCCCTTTTCGGTCCAGATAATCTCCTCAACACCCTGCTCTCAAACACCCTCAGTCTGTTCCTCCCTTAATATCTGAGACCAAGTTTCACACCCATACAGAACCACAGGTAAAATTATAGTGTTGTTTATTCTAATTTCTATGTTTTTGGACAGCAGACGAGAAGACAAGAGGTTCTGGATTGATTGGTAGCAAGCATTACCCGAGTTCAATCGCCTCTTAATTTCCTCCTTAATCAGGTGTTGATTTGTTATCGTTGTTCCCAAATATCTGAACTGTGCCACATTTTCAAAACATCTGTTTCTTATCTTTATGTCATGAATTTACCCTGCATTTTGGTGACGAGACAGCAACATATACTAGGCACATGGATACTTAAGGCAAAAGAGGATTCGGAATATTATCCAAGAAGTGTGTCGAATTAAATTCACCATGAACAGTGCCATAATCTTGGTTGTAGTGCCTTAGAAAGCCTCTTATTTTTTGGTGGACCGTATCGCCACCAGCTTCAGGGTCGAAAATTAAGCGAGTCAAGAAACTAGCTATACGTAGATGCGAGTATCAATGAACGTAAACCGAACTACGTGGATTTATGACCCATAAGAACACACTCTTCATATTTACCGCTGCAGAACCTCAGACTCACCATAAGTTCATATGAAATTAGAAACTAGCAAATGGTATTGCAATTGTAGCTGTATTAAATAACCATTTCTAGATCACATGAAACAGTTCAAGTTAAATAACTTCCTTTTAGAAGCGTATTTACACACACACACACACACACACATATATATATATATATATTGTGACATGTGAACGCACTTCGAGGAAACGACTCGATAAACACCCAGAGATACGCGCATGCAATAATAGAACGAATGTTTATTGTTCGTTGCTAGGCAACAGTCAAAGCGCCAATGGACTTGCGAGATAGCTATCATGTGACTTGTTTTCTGTGTGGTTTACACTACGCAGTAATAGAACTGTGTTTTCTGAGTTGTCTGTGCCGCGGCTCTATGACACGAGTCCACTTGCAGCCAAGGAGAATCGAGGAGGGTTCAGCAAGGACAAGAATGGAGCGTGTCCTTAGAGAATTGGGAAGATTAGCTGAGTACAGACTAGGGCAGAGGTGTGCAGAGTGACTGAAGGCGAAATAACAAGAGGACTTATAGTGATTTGAAGTGACAGTGTCTATGTTGAGATCCGTTGCCAGGAGACGACTAGTGAAGACGGAGAATCTTACTGCGTGCGCGACGATGAAATGTAAACTGTGTAAATCAGCGATAGCGCTGTGATAAGTGTGATTAAGAGAACTTGTAACTGAAGAGCTAATAAATCCAATAATCCTAACTAGAACACGTTATTTTCTTCTCGCATACTACCCTACACGTGAAAATATATAGTCATGAGCAGGGCCCGGATTTTGATGACATGTCATCTTTTTTTCCTTGTATTCTATGCGATGCTCTTAAATATATAAATCTCGGATATGAGCTGCTGGTTAGAGAAATGTAAATTTTATAGGTAATTTTTTGTCATTTTTTGACATTTTTAAGTTTAAGGCCATTTCTTCATTTTGGGGGTAATTTTTTGCTAAATTTTTGGACTTTTAAGTGTATTTCTTGTCATTTTTGGCCATTTTAGGGAAATTTTCTTCATATGTTTTGTGAAATGTGAATAACATGGAAGCGAAGTGTTCTTTCTTTTCTCCTTTAGGTCATTTTTCTGGATTTTTTCGGTCATTTTATAGGTCTTTTTTTAATATTTTCATATCATCAAAATTCGAGCCCTGCATATTACATTTTTGGGTCATATTTTAGGTAATTTTTCTCAATTTCTTCGGTCATTTTATAGGTCATTTTTTAAATATTTTCAGGTCATCAAAATCCGGGCCCTGGTCATGAGTTTAGGGTTCCGTGACTAATTATAACAGGTTTTTGGATTGGATAAATGAATTTATGGATACCTTCTTTTACAATCTCTCTTTATGACAATCATTTACTGCCTAAGACTCGCCCCACTCTGACTGGACTACAATTGCTTCCTCTTCTAGTATGTCTTCTACTGTTCTGACTTTATTCCGAATTACTTTAAGGATGCTTTCTGACCTACGAATGCCTGTATTACAAGGAAGACCGTTTATATAGCTTTAAAGTATCCTAGGAAAATGTTTGTTGAATGCTCGTATCCATGGACACGCCTGTAGATCCCACAGCAACGAGTTGGTTTCCAAGAGTCCACAACTTCCATTTTCGTATCCTAGGAAAAGTTTTCGTCAACTCGTTTTGTTTAAATATATCTATATGTTACAATATGTTGAGAAACTTAACGAGAGATATCAGATGAAAGAAAGAGCGGAATTTATCGTAAAGAAAATGAAGGTTCTTCTTAGAGGACGGTAGAGCCAAGAATTAGTAGGCAACTGTTTTCTCAAGCGTCCACATTTTCATGCTTAATTTAAGACGAGAGTCCAAGTTACTTACAAATCAAAAGGTAGCATAAAACATCACTTCTGAGAGGCATATTTTAATACAATTTTTTTTTTATATTCGACCGCAGCAGAAGTATGAGTCTTGTACCTCCTTCATTGGCAGTAGCAGTCTGTCATAGGTCACTCTTACGTTGAATTAAAATGAAACTCATAAACTCAGTTATTTCAGTTAAATAGTGAACATATTTTTATTCATGAAGTGTTCTTCCTGTGCTACAGGTTCTAAAATTAAGAACACAAAAATAAATACTAAATTTCAGCTGGACAAAAGCACAGAGAACGTACAGAAGATGAGTAATAGCAATTCATGATATATCCTGATTGTTTAAAATTCCATAACATTCTTCATAGAAACTAGAGTCGTTTGAAGATTTTCCATTTACTCCTACTTTTACGTGTCTTGATTGAAGACTCGAAGTGGGGACGCACTTTCATATTCCCTGTCTACGTTTTAACCGCCGGAACAATAATTTCTATACCTCCAGATGCAATATCCAAACTCCCACAAGACATATAATGGAGATTATATTAGTGGCTCCAGAACCTGGAACAAAACGAAAATATTTGTGATTATTCCTGGGATAGATCAGGTATAGTGACAGGCTATGTGATGAATGGCTGGGGTTTGATTCCTGGCAGGGGAAAGAGATTTGTCTGTACTCGAGCACTCAGACCACCTCTGGGGCCAACTCAGCCTGTTATCCATTGGGTACCAGGGGCTCTTCGCCAGGTGTAAAGTGGCTGGGACATGAAGCTGACCACTCACCCCCATCTAGTATTGAGGTTAAGAATGGTGTAGCTATACCTCCACTCCCCCATACATTATCATGGCATAGTGCTTAGCTAATTTGAGCACAAGGACAATTTTAACTTTACCTTATTCCAAAATAATAATTTGAATAGTCTCTCTGCAAAATTTTTCTCAGAATACTAGATGACGTTGAGTATGACAGAGTAAAATTGTTCCGAAATTCGTGAAAATTTCTATTAATTTTTCAATAAGATCCAATACTCTTATGCGGATTCTCCCTACTTCATGCCTCCACTTAAGGAGCGTCAGAATTATAGCAACTTTTGTCAAAGGAACTCGATGAATTCCCACATGGCCATGTGCAGAAGTTAAGAGTTATCTTAGGGCCTACATGTGAAACCTTTCGTACATTGTTATCTGTCTCTCCTTCTCATTCTTTCCACCTCTAACCTTGTTACTAATTGGTTCATAAGACTGGAACAATAAACAACGCGATTTCATTTTTCCGATTCGGTTTAACTAAAGGAAACCTCTGGATATAATCGGGTTTCTTCGCTAGCGATAACATCCGAGAAGCTGTGAAGATTACTGTTAGAATCAGTTTGCTAGTGAAACCTCGAAACTGCTACTCCTGAAGTAGATTCGACAAAATTTCCTCTTCGCAAAATTCTGATTTCAAACCGAAGGCTTTCCTGATTGGGCTTTTTCGTTCTTCCCCCAGTTGCCCCATCAAATGCCGCGATAGCACCCCGATTATTAGACGAGTGCTTCCTTCCAATTTCCAGTTCACTATTCCTCCACTTCCCCTCCCCCCCTCAAAGCTCTACACTGGTAGAGACTCTAACCTCGACAGTAGCAGGGTTAAGGACGAAGGGACCGTCAAGAGTGGGCGAGATGGAAGCAGACCTACATACAGCATCAATAAAGAACGTATTGGACACTAGCATGCTTATATAAGGCTTAGCTGCACTGAACTAAAGAAATTATGTTTTGGCTCAGGTAGTAGTATCTACTATTCCTCTAATGGTACCGACTGCCTGCATTCCTCTCAACTCTCAAGATTAAACTTGCGTTTGTAGTCTGGATGCTAACACTTTAAGAAGGGTCGCGGCTTAGGTCAAGTGATTAGTCGCTGGTGTAACCATTCATTCTAATTGGTGGACTATTGTGTATTAATTATACCTATATTAAGTTAATGTCAAGTAAATACCAAGAGATGCGGCAGATAGCCAACCCTTACACGCAGAAGGGACATAGTTCAAGTTTTGCTATGTGGAGAGGAAGTAACATCTGGAACTTTCCTGGAATTCTGTCAGTTTCAGCAAAGTCAGAAAGTCTTTGAGAATTTGAGAGCTGACAGCTTGGGACAGCTATAACTTAAAAGTGGGACGGCCGGAGCCTCATACCCTGATCGTAATGCATCAAGGGGCTGTCAACCTTAGCGTCAGGTCAGCATCTGCCAGAATCACATAGCAGAGCAACATGATTGGAAATTCAAAATTTAGGGAACCTCCTAGTTTGAAACTTAACCAATGGCAAAAGTGGAGGAGTGGATTTCTCTTGGAGTCTGTGGTTCGTGGACCTCAGGATTCAGAGACAGTGCATTCCACCTCAAGGAGTCTTCATCCAACTTTCGGCAAAGTCGGACACAAAATTACAACTACGTCCCTTCCGTAAAAATATTATAAGCAAAGTTCTAAACAAGTGCTACTAATAGATTCATTTGTATTCAGTAAGCTGGAGGGAATTAAATGATTACTAAGTGCAACGGTCTAAAGAGGTGTGTGTGATTGTAGTGAAAGATTCTTCCTGCCCTGCCCGAGCCAGACCCGTATAAGACCCGGGATATGAACTCAGCTCTACCAATTACCGAACAGAACCCAGATACTTCCGTCTTTACCTACTCGCGAGACACCTAAGGGTGTACAGGAAGCGAGCTCTCGCCTACCAGCTCCAACAACCACAATTCTCCTCCCTTCCCACCTAACTTCTCGACATCCACGAGAAGAGGGAGGACGGTGATAAGTGGCGACCAACGTAAAGGGCCCAAAGGAGGACGGTTACAATGGCTTCCCACCGCGGCGGCTCGGGTTTGATCCCGGGTCTGGTCAAATGGGATTTGTGGTGGACAAAGTGGCGCTGGAGCAGGTTTTCTCCGAGTACTTCGGTTTCCCCTGCCAATCATCATTCTACCAATTGCTCCACAATCACCCTCACCTATCATCTGTGGCTGGTACAGTAGGCCAGAAGTGACCGCAGTACAAGGGACCTACCCCACTAGCAATAAAAAAAAATTTTAAGATAACCCGCAAAACTGTATTAAAAGCGCTAAGATGGCCGAAAATGACACTAAAGTAGCTCTATATCAAACTGAATGTCCTGATTGGGACATGTTGTAGAGAATGTGTTTCATTTACACAAGGCTGGGCTCCCCTTTCGAGGATGATAATGCGTGGATCTTTACCTCCACGATACGGCATTTGATCTGTATGTGGACCAACTTACTCTTGCAACTTTGCTTGTCAGGCGTTGGTATGTAACCCGTGTCACAATTACATTTCTTCGTATCGTCACATCTGATATGCTGGTTCAACCCGTCCTCGGGTAAGTAGCATTGGAAGGTTTCTCCGCATTTCTCACCCAAACCTGCAATGAAGGTGCGTTCATAATATTGCAGATTATTACTTAACTCTATAATGAGTGTGAAAAGAACTGAATACAAATATGTTCATGCATTAATGAAGATAAGTATGGATATCATAATTTGTTCCGTATATTCTCTGTACGGCCGATCCCAGTGGCCGCGCGGTCTGAGGAATGAACCGTCTTCGCTCGCTCCAACATTGGGATCGTGGGTTCGAATCCAACTCAAGACATGGATGTCTACGTTTATTCTGTGTCTGTGTAGATAGTTGCCTTGGCGGCGGGTTGATCCCTCGTCCAAGGAGTCCTACCGACTGTCTTAGGTTTAAGAAACTAAAGTGGAACAAATAGTTTCACGGATGTCCTATACTCCAAGTGGGAGCAACAGGTGATATATATGTCTATACCGTATTTACGCATGTATAGGCCCCGTGCGTGTATAGGCCACAGCACAATTTTCAGACAGAAATTATAGAAAAAATAATTTTCTTGGAATATTATTTCAGGAGTAGAACACCCTGTTTTACTAATTATGAATATAATTTTTTTAAAATGAAATGTGATTTCGAATATTTCGAATATAAGCCCCACCCCAGTTTTCCTCTTGAATTTTTGGCAAAAAATATGCGGCCTATACATGCGTAAATACGGTATATATTCCCTACACGTAAACTAAAATCACGGAAAGGGGTACCGTAGATGGATCCCTTCCACTACGCTCTAGAGCTACGCTTCTCCCTCCAGACCACTCTTCGACACTGCCTTCCAGTAGCTTAGTCGGTGTACTCAATCCACTGTTGGGACCAACACTCTTACTGTAAATTTCGTTAGCGACAAGCGCTTTGAGGTGTCTCAATTGGGCCAGAGGGGTATGGAAGGGAGTAAAGGGCAGTGATAATGCTCTCGATTCGTCACCTCCACCGTTTCTAGGACTCCTAGGTCACTGAATGTAAACCGTGACTGCCTATCGGGCCCACACGTCTTGTGTGCGGTGACAAAGCATTTTCTGCTCAAAAACTCATTATGCAACTATAAAGGGATAACGGGATTCGCTTCGCTATCCTCTGTATCAAGCCTTAATGTCAGCCGTCACTTACCTATGCTCAGCACACAACTACTGGGTATAGCAAAGTGATTTCCAGGTTTACAGACGCAATGTTTTTCTTCGTTGCATGTTCCATTTGGCCCAAAAGAAATGGTGCACTGGATCTCTTCCTCACAAGGATCGTTGAGGTCCTTAGCAACTAAATAACACAAAAGCGAAACATAATTATTCTGTCTTATTCCATCTTCAAAATTCTCAACAAATAAATACAACCTTAAGCTCCGTGGCCTGAAGTCCGCAAGCGAACTATACCGACCGAAGGACCGTCGCTTGTCGGCGAAGTTAGTGCCAACTTTAGCGGATAGAGGGTGTCGCGTGGTGAGCGCAACGAATCCCCACGCCCGTTAATTTCGGTTTTTCTAGACCAGAGCCGTTATTTTCTTGAAATAGCTCCTCAGTTATCCTCACGAGGCTGTGGACTCCGTTCCAGACCCACTACTTCTCAGAAAATCTGGTAGCGCCGGGAATCGAACCTCTGGATCTGTAGCCAGGAACTCTGACCACTCGACCACAGAGGCAGTCAAATACAACCATATGTGTATCTTATTATATGGGTCATATTTTTAGGTAACTTTTCTCATTTTGAACAAAAAGTTCTGGGAAGAACTAATCGCCTGCTGTCCTTTGATAAGAATTCGGTCCGCGTAGAAGACTACGCATACAACAAATATTCTATTGTTGCATGTGTATTCGGTGCCTAGCAACCGAGCCGTTACCCAGCAACGATAGACAAAAATAGACACAAACATACAGACAGCAATATGATCTCATAAATCTCATCTTATGGTTTTCAAAATTCGGAGGTAAGTCTAAAAACTAAAAGGAGGCGCACACACCCGCTTGCTTCAGTGGTCCTACCTTTGTTGCCAGAATCTCTGGAAGTCCTCTTCTGGTATGGCTCTGAGATCTTCTGTTGAATATCCTCCAGAGATGGCAAGACGATGACCTTGAATGTCATCTCAAGTTTCAGGAAGAAACAGAAGTCGCACGGAGCGATATCTTGGAGACGTCGGTGGTTGGATGATGGTTAGAATTGGGATTTTAGCCAAAAATTATGCTTTGCGAGGGAGCTGTGACATGGGATATTGTCATGGTGTGGGTTCCAATTGCCGGTCTAGAAAACCGAGATGAACGACCGTGGGGATCCGCACTAACTTCGCCGACAAGCGGCGGTCGCTCGGTCGGTAGAGTTAGCTTGCGGACTACAGGCCACGGAGTTTGTTTGTAAGTTCCAATTGTTTCTCCATTACTGAATGAGACACACTAATGAGTCTCAGCCTGCTGTAACTTACTTCACAGAAAACACATAGTGGAATCCCCCCCCCCTTTAGTAGGAAGCAGATCTCTAGATACAATAAAATTCCATTGATACTGATGCTTCCTTGTATAGAGGCCAATGTGTCCATTTCCGCTTGGCGCGGAAGTAGGCCTATTGGTATGACTTCATCATTTAAACTACCGACAGATACTTACCTGGTATGCATGACGATTTGTTAAATGGATGTGGAACAAAATCTTGCACGCATGCGCAAAAATTCTCGCTGCAGATGGAATTCTGAATGAATTTGGTGCATCTGTCGTCATCTGAGCAGGGTTTACCGATTTCTGCAAGAGAAGAAATAACGAAGTAAATATTTGTAAAGTGTGTAATTTCCTGAGATATAACGCCGTGTAGTACGTTGAAAGTCGACCGACGTTTCAGAGGAACATATGGCCTACATCTTCAGGGTCGAAGAATAAGACGAATAAGCAGAGCTCTTCTTGCCATCTGCTTTCACGGTGGTTTCTTGCTAGGCTTACTTTTCGACCCTGAAGATGGAGGTGATATGTTCCTCCGAAATGTCGTTAGACTATCAACGGGCTACACAGCGTACTATCCCAGAAGATAGAACTCTTCATAACCACCGCTGTGAGAACCTCAAATCCTAAATATTTGTACCGAACATCGGAGGTACCGTATTTACGCTAGTATAGGCCGCACATTTTTTGCCAAAAATTCAAGAGGAAAACTGGGGTGCGGCTTATATTCGAAATATTCGAAATCACACTTCATTTAAAAAAAAAAATATATTCATAGTTAGTAATACAGAATGTTCTACTCCTGAAATAATATCCCAAGAAAATTATTTTTTTCTATAATTTCTGTCTGAAAATTGTGCTGCGGCCTATACACGCACGCGGCCTATACATGCGTAAATACGGTAATTATATTGTGACATGTAGGCAGTTTCTAGGAAACGACTCAGTACAAACATGTTTCCATGGAGGTGGATTTCTAGAGACCAGATCGGTAAAAAACCTCTCTCCGTGTAAATGAACATTCAGCAAACTCTTCCTACGATAAGCGAGACTATGCAGTATAAGCGGCCGTTCAGATAAGAACAGATATATTCGTCATTCGTAATTCGTTATGCGTAATTCATTCGTAAACCAGGAGTGAGCGATTTAGTAAATCATTTCAAGGTCATAGCACCTACGTGATGTAATGCAAAAAAAAAAAAACAGGTACAGTTAAACACACAGTTCATTTCACAGGCCTTTGTAATATGTATCCTGGGCTTAGTTCCCTCTTGCACTTACTCATTTGCTGGCATTCGTGTTAACGGTAGTATCACTGTTCATCCCCGCTACCAGTGCTTGTACGAGCAATCTCTACTTGAAGCTAACTGCATGCGGAAGAGTTCCTGAGGCAGTTGTGTAATAAAAAAAATCTCCGCGTTTTATCGACCTCAAAGTTTCATTATCGTGAACACTTTAACCCGCAGCTACACCATTTGAGCAGCGATATGAATCTAGCCCACATCTTCATGTCCCATTTTTAAGACAGATTTTAATGGTACGTATATCTCATTCTGCCTCGAAAGTCTCCCAAATACTCTACTCCCTTCAGGTGTTCCGTCACATTCGGGAGCCACATGGCCCATTTCGTAACAGGGTGTGTCTCTGTGCTGCGAGAGAGTAGACCTCATTGGAGCACCACATATTATTTGCTTCATAGAAAGTAAAGCTATCCCTGTAACAGGTCATGGAGGTCCATAGGGTTGTGAGACGTTGAGGCTTCCACATCTTCTCTAGACAATCGGCTCACAGATGGCGGTGAGGTTGTCAGCCTTACGCGCCGGCTGCCCTTTACCCCCAGGAAGATTCCTGGAACCCATTTCTCTTAGAGACTGAGTCGACCCCAGGGCCATAGTGCGGATGGAAGGATTAGGTCAGTTGAAAAATCCAATGAACTCGTCGGGGCTCGAATCCGCGACCTTCCGGCTTGTAGCATAGTGTCTCAAACAACTACACTATTGCGCACCCCATTAATTGACTGCATGCTATTTCCTATTCAATATATTCGAACTACGTTCCAAATCTGGATGCTGTCTTTTCCACAAGAAAACGCCCTGTGAGTTCGACAGGAAATCACTTAAGAAGGTTCCCAGAATATTTCAATATTAAAAGAAAATATTAGAAATTGAATTATCTGTGGTAGATTTCATGCTCAAAGGAAATGCTTATACCTGGTGTTAAGCAATATTTGTCTCTTTGTAAGTTACGATAAGATATGATATGTTTACTCATAACATTTTAAAGATGATTAATAAATGGAATCTCTAAGGTCTTCAGGAATGCATGTAAAAGTTAGACAATGCCAAAATGACCCATATTTAACACAAAGTTCCTTGTTACTCTCAGCACCTTTTACACTGTAACACCTTAATATGAGGTTTAAAATTATTCCTCTGAAGTGTGAGAGTTATCGGGAACCATTGGCACCCCTTAAAAACTGAGATATCGACTGGCACCAGTGATTGAGTATCTTGTCTGTATCAACATTTGGAATCGCTTGTACAATAGGTTTCCAAGTAATAATTCTTTTTCAAAAGCTACATTTCTTGCGGCTACCTTCTGTATCAACCCCGGATACCGAAAAATATAGTCACCTAGAGGAATACAGCAACGAGAAAACACTCTGAAATGAAACCCGTTCACAAAACTGGAGGTATGAACTGCCAGGCTCAACATTGGAAAGAGAGCTATTGACATCCTTTGTATGTCTACCGCCCAGATATGTAAATACAACATGAGGAACGAACTGCCGTGAAAGATATTAGAGATTATGTTAATTAAAACAACAGACATTATTTTTAACGCTGTTAATTTGAATAGAATTTCTGTCTTTTATACTGGAAGTTTATTAAAATACAGAGTAAAATTATGCATATACTATATTTTTTTATATCTAATTCAAAAATAGCATCTAATAAAATAATTCATTTAATAAATAAATGATTATATTGTATATTTTTCGGCCTTTGGGCTGTATTCTTTGACATTTAATTGTATATTATCTTTATATTTCGATTAACAATCTTAAAAATTTCCAGAAACTTAGTCATATATGTAGCCGGTCACAGTAGCCGAGCGGTCTAAGGCATAAACTGTTTTCGCTCGCTCGGAAGCCGGGATCGTGGGTTCGGATCTGTTTCCTGTGAGGTACGAACTGAATTCTTATATATTATTCTTATACACTGCCGGTCACGGTAGCCGCGCGGCCTAAGGCATGAACTGTCTTCGCTCGCTTGGAAGCCGAGATCGTGAGTTCGAATCCAACACAAGGCATGGATGTTTGTTGTGTGTATGCGTTTATACTGTGTTTGTGTTCTGTGTGTAGGTAGAGGTCTTGCGACGGGCTGATCACTCGTCCGAGGAGTCCTACCTTCTGTAAAATGATCAATGAAACTGAAAAAAGAGCCCTATGCTCCAAAAGTGGGAGCGAGAATAAAAAAAGTCATATATCTACATTTAAATATTAATGCCGTAGAGTGAGTATGAATTATATGCAGAAATGAGCAGTCAGTTTCCGTTGCCTTTAATGTATTTCATAAATACATTTCTGATGTATCTGTTTAATTATTCCTGCGATATTATCTCTTAATCTGTATTATATTCTGTTTGGTTACCTAACCTTCTCTCGAATATTATGTTTTAAAGTAACAGATATTACCCCCCTACTTAACAACACATGCTGGGAGACTGCCCCTTGTCGGCTGTCTGTGACTCTTTATTCGAAGTATCCGAAGCATGTCCCCTTAGTTTCCAACCACATGAGTGGTGATAATTCAATATTATCAATCAAGATTTACACTATCGGTAACACAGCCCATACGTCTTCTTCGTTTCAGCTTCACGGAAGTCGGCTGTCTGCTCAGTGAGTGTTCCCTTATGAATTCATATCCCCTCAATATCGTGGCTCATTATTTTGGCAAAAGCAGCGGTAAAACTTCCAAAAATATTGCGTCAGTAGACGCTGTGTAGAATTATTTGTACAGAACGCTTATCTCTTATATCAACAGCCTAGCACACAGCACTGCGAACTTTCGCGTAATTCTGATAAAGTTGTCGAATTGTGGGAAGTGCCGATATTTTATTAAAAAAATATTTAGATTGCCGATTTACTCAACCAGCTGCGTCAATGGAACATAGCCCTTCCTGATAAACTATCACTTAGCTAGTTAATATATCTACTTTTCATGGAATCCCCCAGAATTATTACGATGTTCAAGCCAGCCCGCCACTGGACTCTTATCCTGAGTCATCTGAAACAAGTTCACAAAATTACACTAAATATCTTGAGCATTAATTTCAATATCATTCTTCCAGCTACGCGTTATGTTCCCCAGGTGAGCTCCTCTATTCATTTGTCAGAAGTAACGATTTTCATGGAAATCTTGCTCTTTTCCGTGAGTGCTACATGCCTTACTCAATTCGCGTAAATCATTCCATTACCCTAATAATATTTCATATATGATTAAGATCATTCTGGGGTATATTTCTCTACTTTCCTTCAAGGATTGTTATCTCTCATTTGACAGGATCGTTCTCGCTGAAAGCCTTGAGAAAAACCACGATAAACTTTAGCTATGATATACTGCACCGGCCGGGATTTGCAGTAGATACCTGAGGAATATGAATTCGTTCATACATATAAGCTCCGTGTGAGTTACTACCCGCCTGTTATGGTCACGTATTTCCGAGACAATGGCACTGACCATTGTCTATAAACACAAGTGATCAGTGCAACGAATCTCCACGGCCGTTAACTTCGGTTTTCTAGACCGGAGCCGCTATTTCTTTGAAATAGCTCCTCATTTATCCTCACGAGCCTGCACTATTTCTCAGAAAATCTGGTAATTATGAAGTTTTTCGCATAGTGCAAGTCCCCTCAAGCCGTAATAATTCTGCCTTGGTATTCCTGAGGTACTCAGTTCGAATTTGGAACTGGACACCGATTATCCTGAGAGTTTTCGTGGTTATCCTTAGCCTTTACGTTCAAGTACCAAGATAACAACTCAGCCTACGCTACAAGCGCTTCCTTCCATAATTTTCCAAATAACTATCACTTATCATTTCAACATATTTTTTTTTTTTTTTGAGACTCCCATATTTATTATGCAATCTGAGTTAATACATTTAGCATAATGATGTGAAAAGGAAAGAAAAAAAAGAACGTGTAGAATACCGCTCATTAGCGGTGCTCCTTGTGCAGTAGATAAAGTCTGGTATGATTTGTGGGAGAATACTTACAAACTAGGGACTTAAGATCTAAATAATAATACTACATTATACAAGAAATCTGTTTGGGAGATCATGTGGAAGATGTCTTCTCAGTCTGCGGAGAGGCGGGGGTGCAGAGAGTTGAGACACTTCTTGGTTAATGTGCATGTTGAGCCGTGATCTGTATTTCGAACTTAGTCGACTGATTTCTTCTTGAACTGTAGGTATTTGTAGATCGTGTCTGATGATGGCATTGGGGACATACCAAGGGGCGTCCGTTAGCAGACGCAGAGCTTTAGACTGAAATCGCTCAAAGATGGCAATGTTGGTGTTCGAAGCAGAGCCCCATAGTTGAATGCCATATGTCCACACAGGTTTGATGATGATTTTGTAAATGAGGAGCTTGTTGTTTAGAGTTAGTTTAGATCTTCGTCCAAGTAGCCAGTGTAGTTTGGTGAGTAGAATGCCCAGATGTTTTCGTTTGTTGAAGATATGTTTTTTCCACGTGAGGCGGCGGTCAAGATGGAATCCAAGGTACTTGACTTCAGTTGTTTGGGGGAGAGGCTCATTGCAGAGGTAGACAGGAGGGCACGTAGCTTTGCGGTTGGAAAATGTGACGTGATAGGATTTAGTTTCATTTGCTTTTAGTCGCCAAAGTGAGAGCCAGCTTTCTATGGAAATTTCAACATATGAATTAGTAACAAAACAAAAAAAAAACCGTGTCTTTAGTAAGCAAGAAAACTATACCGACAGAGCGACCGCCGCTTGTCGACGAAGTTAGTGCCAACTTCAGCGGATAGAGGGTATCGCGTGGTCAGCGCAACGAATCTCCACGGCCGTTAATTTCGGTTTTCTAGACAGGAGCCGATATTTCTTCGAAATAGCTCCTCATTTATCCTCAGGAGCTTGAGTGGACCCCTTTCCAGACCCACTACTTCTCAGAAAATCTGGTAGTGCCGGGAATTGAACCCGGACCTCTGGATCTGTAGCCAGGAACTCTGACCACTAGACCACAGAGGCGTTACTGATAACGTCGTTAAAGAATTTGCAAGTATAACTACAAAAATGGAGGACTTATGTAGGATTTGAGGTTCTTACAGCGGTGGTTATAAAAAGTTCTCTCTTCTGGGATATAGGGCCTTGTAGCGTGTTGAAAGTCAACTAAAGTCTCGGAGAAGCATGTCGCCTTCATCTTCAAGTTTGAAGAATAATCCATACAAGAAACGAGCACGAATAAGGTAGCAAGCAGAACTGTTTCCTTGCTTGTTTACTCTTCGACACTGATGATGGAGGCCATATGTTCTTGAGGAACATATGTTGACCTCCAAAGGACTAGGCTCTTTAGTGTGTAATTTCCGGAAATATTCTCTTATTTTCCAGCGATTCTAAATAAGGCTGTGTACCCGACGTTCATAATACACGTATTTCGGGGCACGGCTCTTAACCTTCATTGTGTTACGTTTGATCTAAGTTCTCCTTAACGGACTGCATGGCGTTATGTTCCAGAAGACAGTACGCTTCATAGCCACCGCTGTGAGACCCAATAAGTAAGTTCTCTTAGTTGCTTACCTGAAGGAAAAATTATGGCTTGCACAGAACCGTGAAAATGGCACACTGCCCACAATACCACCACCAAAATATTCTTTCTCTTATGCATGGCTTCTGCATGAAGTGAACAGGAACTGAGTGCAGAGGTAGCTCGGTACGTCCCTCTTGCAGATAAGAAATGAGTAACCTCGTTGTCCGAACTGATATGAACACCTTCTGTGTGTGTGAGATTTGAGCCTCTCAAGTTAGTTATTTATCTACCAATTTACACTGCGTTATTACCCCAAATATAGTAACCATGACTGGCACTCTATCTTATCCAGTTTCCTGAAACTCCTGATTTTTCCGTAAGTTTCAAGTAGATTTTATGGCGGTAAAATATAAATGAACATTATTATATTTGAGCATCCTGTTACACTCACACAATATATATGAGACAAACACCGTCTTAAGTGTAACAATTTAATTGTAGTTCTTTCTTCTTTTCCTCCTCCACACTACATGTTTCGGCCCTAAATGGCCATCATCAGGTGTGTATTCTTACGTAGCTGTTACGCTGCCTGTTAAAATTTAAAATCACCAGTCTTTCTAATTGTATAAAATCTTTGTTAACCTACACGCGTTAATTTGATTTCTAAATTTAGCACTTTTTTAAAACTTTAATTCAAGTTAAAATGTCTATAAGATTTCTGTTCTTTTTCTTTTTCAAATTTTGAAATTAAAATTTTCTCAGGGTACATGCCCTATGTCTATAGTGCTGCAGCGGCCACTTCTTGTTTTATCGCTGTTCAGGTATTGTCTGTAATATACAAATATTCGTGTTACTATCTTATGTTATGTTATGTTATTCTTATATGTTTATACTGTTATTTGTACTTACTCTGTGTGGGCTCTCTCTGTGTGTGTCGCTGCGACATACATACATATACCCATACATATATCAACTGACACTACAGTAGAGGAGTTCGAAGTTCTAGCTCCGCTAATACCAAATCCGCCATTAGATATGATCCTGTATCCGTTCCACTCACCTCCTATCTACCCTCTTCGCTTTCCGCCAAAATGCTCTTATGTATTCAGTGTTTCCTCCACTGTAACACGTGTTCGGTCCATTACAGCCGCCTCTATGTCATTGCCCTAAATTACGGCTTTCCAAGTTCTAGCCTTGCGTACTTAGTTCACAGTAAAAGTAAAGCTGGTAAAGTTGTCCCTGTGCTTTATTAATTCATCACTATGTCATGAAGAAATATGGGTGGAGTGGAGATGTAGCTCCATCATTCTTGACCTGAGCACTAGATGGATGTGAGTAGTCAGCTTCACGCCACGGCCGTCTAAACCCGGCACCCATTGGATAGGAAGTTGAGTGGGTCCCAGAGCTGATCTGGACGCTGTGGCACATACACCATATAATTCTTATCATCTTGCCAAACACTATTTGGCACTCACTGCAGGGCACTTGTTGGATTCTGCATATCAGTCACAAATATTACGGTATTTATTAACACGTTTTACTTTTAAGACACATCCTGCTTTATCGTAAAATGGCAGGAAGTAATAGCCATTGTTTGGCGCGCAATCGGTATGGTCCTCTAAGCTTCCTGGTTCAGTATCGCTGCGTGTACTCCTTCTAGTATGGGAACGAGTGAGTTCCGCATTCAGTTAGTATGATACGCAGATATGTTACCCTTAGGTTTTATTCACAATTTTTTTTTAATTCGCTTAGTGGGGGTGGAGTCCAACTGGGTCCACTCGGCACGGCGGCCACTGATTGGCCTATTGTAGCCTGCCCCAGATTGTGATGATGGAGAATTTGGTGGAATGAAGATTGGCAGAGGAAAACAAAGTATTGGAGAAAACCGGCCCGAGCGCCACTTTGTCGACCACAAATCTCACTTGACGAGACCCGGGATCGAAACCGGACCGCCGCGATGGGAAGCCAGCGACTAACCGCTTGAGCTATGGCGGGGCCTTTATTCCCACTTCTTACTTCCGGTATTTCAGCACCGGTAGCAAATTCGACTTGCGGTCCGTAAGGTTGCCTACACAAGGCATCATGTACCATGATTCGTAGAGCAGTAGATGGACTCTTACTCACACAAGGATCGCCTAGCAGATCTCAACTGTTCCTCTGCTTTAAACACACGCACATATTAGAGACAAAAGTTCTAATACCGGAAATGCAGTGTCCAGGGATTGGAACCAATCCTAACCAGCTGAATTCAGTTCATGTTACAGGCAAATATATATTGAACCCTCTGCATGCGGTAGATCCTGAAACTCACGGCTGGAATTATTAATACTAAAATCTTTTTTAAAACTGATTTGTCACCATTTCCTTGGTAAACAGGAAGTATGTAGCAAACAAGGAAATTTGTGGCCAGTGGGCAGAGAGGCGTGCTTGGTGGTGTACGGTGTGTGTTTTGCAGTGTCACAAGATGAGGGCTTCTCTCTGTGTCTTCATATCGGCTTATATCATGTTAGGATCATCAAGTAATGGGAGAACAAGTGAAGGTGAATATTTTGTCTACACTATATTGACTTCGTTTTCTCCCTCGCTGACGCGAAAATTCTAGATTCATCTGCAAAAATTCGATGAGCAAATAAATTTAATAAAAATAAAAATAAAAATAAAACACTACATTTAAATTGTATGATGTCACGGCCTTTTCAGATTTCAATTGTTTTAGGTTTAAAGGCTCATAAATGAAAGATGTGAATGGTTTCCAGACATTGTAAGGTGACGGACAGATTATGCTTATTTGGAAAATTAAAAAAAATGTATTTCTAAAGGGGCACTCGGTAGCGTCGTTGGTTGAGGCACTATTCTACAAACCGGAAGGTCGCGGGTTAGATTCTAAATATCATTGGATTTTTCAAGTAACCTAACCCTTCCAGCCGCACTATGGCCCTGGGGTCGAAGCAGCCTATAACAGAAATGAGTACCGGGAATCTTCCTGGGGATTAAATGGCGGCCGGCGCGTAAGGCTGACAACCTTAACGCCATCTGTGAGCAGACAGTCTAGAGAAAATGTGGGTGCCTCAACGTCTCACAACCGTATGGGCCTTCACGGCCTGTTACTTTTATATATTTCTAAAAAATTTCGAAGTACTCCCAATTAAAGTGCAGATGCGTCGAGAATATGCAAACAAAAGAATCTACATGGAATGAGATTTGTATCGCGGACCAGGGTCTGATTGACACTCATGGGGGCCTCAACATTTGGAGGCCTCTGTAAGCAACACATATTTAGGTTATCGAAATTCCTTTGATTTTGTTCTTGTTCTTGTTACTCTTAATATCTAAAAATAGAAACTATCTCTTCTCGATTTTAGAGAAGCAAATACATTTCTGTAATATCTGTGGAATCCATGGGGCCACCGCCCCGGACGCTCCCCTTCAGAGGGAGCGGCCCTGGCCTTGACCGACCTTACAGACAGCCATGATTCAATATTTGCGCTTGTTTTTTCGCTCGCTCCTTATCATTGTCTCTCTCTCTCTCGCTTTATTTCCTTCCTTCTCTTTTCGGGACACAACATGGACGGCACCAGTATTTGCCGGGGAAGGGAAATTAAGAGAAATGTTCTCAAGGTGACACAGCTAGCATGCCTGCCAGGATAAGGATAACATAACTTCAATCTCGTTAAACCAATTGAACGATTTCAATAAAAAGTTTTCGGCTGAACTGAATTTTGCTGTGTACGGTTAAATTATAATCCATAGTTTAAATTTATCAGTAGCTTAGTCGGTATAAGGACTAGGCAATGGGCTGGATGGTGGGGGTTCGATTCTCGACAAGGGATATCTGTTTCTCTTCTCCATAACCTCCAAATTGGCTCTGGGGCCCACCTAGCCTCTTATCTAATGCGTACCAAGGATGATTTCTCCGGAGATAAACCGGCCGAGACTTGAAATTGAACACTCACATTCGTCTAATGTCGAGGTCAAAATTGGTGGAGCTATGCCTCCACTGTCTCATATGTCTTCATGTAATAATGTTTAATTACTTATTTATGTTCATGGACACCTCAAAGAAATGTTTATCTAAAGTCGTTCATCATACGGAGCTGACAAACTCTAAGGCTTATACCTCATTAAGATTGGTCATGTGCTGTACATTTAGCGACTGGCTGCTGGTTGGACGACCGAGAGGCTGGAATTCGAGTCCCGGTGTGGTCAAAATTTGTTTCAACTCATGAGGACCGAAACTGAGGTCCGACCAACCTCCTACATAATGGGTACCGGGGGCTCTTACCCCGGGGATAAATCCGCCGAGGCGTGAAGCTGATCACTCACCTCCAGTTATTTCCGAGGTCAAGAAAATGTGGATCTATACATGCACTCCCCCATACGCCTTCATGGCGAGGTGCTTAATTAGTTAAGCACAGGGACAAGTTTACCTTTTTACCTTACTCTTACCAAGAGCCGGGTTAGTCCAGTCGGTATAACGACTGGCTACGGGCTAGACTACCGAGGAGTTGCATTTCGAATCCCTATAGGGTTAAGAATTTTCACTTCTCCATCTCGTCCAGATCGGCTCTGGGGTCCACCCAGCCTCCTATTTAAATGGTAACGAGGGCTCTTTCCATTTGGGTAAAATCGACCTGGATATAAAGCTGCCAACTAATCCTAACTAGTGTCGAGATCAAGGAAACGTGGGTGTATACATTCACTACCCCATACGCCTTCATGACATTGAGCGTAATTAGTTAAGCACAGGTTAAGTTTTAACTTCTTTTTTATTTTACCTTTACCACGCAGTAATCTCTGGGTTCCCTAAAAATGGATATACCCGTAAATGTTTATACCACGAGGTCGTTAAAATTTCCGCTCGAAATATTTCTGCATGGACATGCGCAAGAGATTACTTGGCACAGGATACGTTTCTAACATCCAATTCGCGGTACCGGAAGATAAGCTTAGCCTAGCGGAAGGAAGTCTCCAGACCGTTCTCTTTCATAAGAGCGTGCCCTGAAGTTGCTGTTGTAACAGCCTCTGACAGGGGACTATTGCGAAAACTCATGACATAATTAGTCTCCCCACTGATCAGATTGAAGCCCGAAGAGTTCTATCTTCTGGGACATAAAACCGCTTATTCCGTTAATGGACAACTCTCGTTTCGGAGGTTGTTATATGCTTCACTCTGGTTCCTTGTTTCGCTTATTCTTCGACCCTGAAGATGGAGGCGACCCGTTCCTCCTCAATTTCAGTTGACATTCAACGGGCTACAGATCATAGTATCCCAAATTGTGGTACGATTAACTAACTTGAATAACTTGGAGATTATATAGATAAAAAATATGTGTGTAAAAACTGCGTATGTACTTTATAAAAATTTTAATTTTCACGTTTCCTTCGTATAAATGAACGTAAACAATGTTTGTATTGTTCCAGGACTCGTCTGTGATACTGACCAGGACTGCAGGGACACCGGTGCTGTCTGCGTGCAGAACAAGTGCCGTTGTGGAGAAGGCTACATTCAGGATCATGCGCTATGCATTAAGCTTCCAGGTAAAAGGGGCTTTCAAGTGAATGAGGGTCTTTTGAGGGGCCTTGGTTTTCGCGTTGTTTAATTACGTGGTAAAAGAATGAACAATGGCATTTGAAGTAGTCCACTGCAGCCTTATCTTCTTACCAATCAGAATACGCCTACTCCATCTCATTCGACTTTTGGAGTGTGTGTAAATAAAACTAGTTTTCCTTTAATATTGTTTATCTGTTAAAATTCACTGTTTATCTGTCGTAGGCTTGCAGGAAGTTCCAATAAAAACCTAATAGTGCACAGTAGACCCAGACTATGTCCTCGAATAAAGTCGTAGAATTGTCCCTCCGCTTATTGAAACACCACGCCATATAAAAGAATCGGAGAATGGAGGTATAGCTCCACGTATTTTTAAACCTCCGTATTAGATGGAGATGTCGGTCACAATGGCCGAGCGGTCTAAGGTATGCACTGTCTTCGCTCGCTCGGAAATGGGGATCGTTGGTTCGAATCCTACATAAGGCATGGATATTTGGTATGTGTATGTATTCTGTGTTTAGGTAGTGGCCTTGCGACGAGCTGGTCACTCGTCCAAGGAGTCCTACCGTCTGTGAAATTGATTACCGGAACTGAAAAAAATCAGAGACTAGGGTCCAAGGGAACTGTAGAGCCAGTGATCAGCCTCACGCTCCTGCTGTTCTACCCCTGAGCAAAGAGCCCCCAGTATCCATTGGACAGGAGGATGGATGGACCGCATAGCCGATCTGTAGGTTGTGGAGAAGAGAAACACATCTTGCATTTGCCGGGAATCGAACCACGATAATTCGCGGAGCTCAGCTGAAGTAGGTTAAAAATTTATATAAGTACTAAGTTTTAATGGAAGAATAAGGTATCTTCTCTGTTCCCAGAAAGGCACTTCTTGTATTGTGAAGTAGCAGCGTTCCTATGCTTCACTCCAGGAGTGTGGAGGCGTGAGGGAGGAATGGAGGTACAGAATCATACATTGATGGAAGTGAGCGATCAGCTTTACGCTCAGGCCGCATTATAATCTGGTACTCTCCAGTCTGATCCCAGAGCGGTCCGGATTTAAGGCCACTGGTGAAGTAAAGCCCCAGTCCATAATCACGCAGCTTGTCACTTACTGGTCGAAATGTTCTGAGGGTTTTGCTGAACGTCCACAGGGGGCAATACTTGGAGAGCTCTCCTGATGGAGGTCTGAAAACTGAATATCAGAAGATGAACGGACTGACCAATAAAAGAAAAGTGGCAGGAAGAAGAATGTTTTTCTCAAGGTAAATGAGAGCTCGACCGGAAGTGCGGTTATGGTCCCAGATTGTATCACTTCTACTGTCGCTGTCTGCAATTAACATAATACTATGCTACAAATAACTGAAAGAAAGTAATGGTTCCAACACAAATTATAGAAAATAAAAACACATTTTATTCCCAGTACACTTTTTCACAAGAGGGGGGTACTATGCTACAAACCAGAAGATCTCGGGTTTGATTCCCGATGAGGTCATTGGATTTTTCAATTGACCTATGTTTCCAGCCGCACTGTAACTCTTTGGTCAACTCAGACTCTAACAGAAATTAATACCAGGAATCTTCTGGGGGTAAAGGTGCGGCTGGGGCTTAAGGCTGACAAACTCACCGCCGTCTATGAGCAGATTTTCTAGAAAATGTGGGGGCCTCAACATCTCGACCCTATGGATCCCACGGCCTGTTACAGGAATATCTATATCTAATTTCCCAGGTTTAATTGGGCATGAAGCATAGGTCTTTGGCTTCGAAAGGTTTTAGGCAATGGGGAGCCTCGCTTTAGAGCCCTCGAGGTACCCGACTAAGATCGGGCTTGCCCAGTGGACCCAGTATGTTCTGAGCGTATAAAAGCACGACTGGAGTTCGTGTCCCCTAGGTCAGTAAAATAGTCGTAAGATGCGTTAACTCGAGCTATCTTAGGTAGGATTTGAATTTCTTAGTGCGGTGTTTATGAAGAGCCCTATATTCTGAGATCCAATCCCATGTAGTCAGTTGAAAGTCAACAGACATTTTGCAGGAAAATATACCCTCCATCTCCAGACTCGAAGAATAAGCCAAGCAAAACCCAGCACGAAGCAGGTAGCAATCAGAGTAGGGGTCTTGCCTGGATTATTCTTAGATCATGAACTCCGAAACTTGGGTTGATTTCGACGTACTACACGGCTTTATGACCCAGAAAATAGGATTTTTCGAACTCTTCTAGGTTTGAACATTTTCTTATTTTGCTTTGTTCTTGAAGTGTTTCGCGCCTCTTAAAATTCTTAACCATGATCTCACGGATTAAAAATCCTCTTATCCTATAGAACAAATAGTCTACAGTGGTTCAGACTGTAGCTCAGAATCAATGAAAAATATACGCTTCAAAAAAATTATCAGATTTATTCTAACAATCATGCTTTTTGCTCTTTTATTGTTCAGTCTTTTCAATTAATATCAGAAAATCGATAGCTCAGTTGGTATAGCATTGGGATACGGTCTGGGCGACTGGGATTCGATTCCTGATAGGTACAAGAGATTTTTCTCTTATTCATAGCTTCCAGACCGGCTCTGGGGACCCCCCCCCCCCCAAAAAAAAAAAAAAAACACATACAGTGGCACAGGGGGGGTGTTGTCTGAGCGAAACAAAGAGGTGGGGGTNACAAACATCTTGCTAATGGGCACTGGGGGGATATTCCCTGAAGATAAATCGGTTGGGGTCATAAATCTGCCCACTCACCTCCATCAAGTACGAAGGTTAAGAATGCATGGAGCTGTACCGCCACTCCCTGACGTTGTGCTTAATAAGCACAAGGGCAAGTCTGATAAATTTCTTGCCTTACATAACTCCAGGACAGCAAGGTGAATTGTTTTATTTTGTATGTATGCCTTCTTAATTGGAGTAGATCTCTTGCATTGCAGTTGTTCTTGGTGAAAAGTGCAACAGAAGCCGCGACTGCGCAGTGACGGCTGGTGGCCCGGCAGTACAGTGCTCGCATGGTGTTTGCAAGTGTGAACGTGGCTACAGACCAACTCCTGATAAGAGGGGCTGTGTCCTTCAGGGTGAGAATAGCAAGAAGTTAAACCAGAGCATACAATCTGAAAGGAAGACGCTATTTTGGAGACTCAGTCCTTTTTGAGAAGTCTGCAATGGCGTACTTAGTGAAGAAATATCCTGTATTTTATGAAACCCGAAATTTCATTCATTAACAAAAATATTAGCGTCCATTGTTTATCTTCCGTCAAAATTGCAACACTTTTACATTCTACACTTCAACACTACATGTTTCGGCCTCAAACGGCCATCTTCAGGCGTTTTTATGTTACAGAAATGTAGAATGTAAAAGTGTTGCAATTTTGACGGAAGATAAACAATGGACGCTAATTTGAACAATTGAAACGGGATGTTGAAATACAAAAACAAAAATGTATTCCGACTTCCAAAGTGACCTCAAATAATCACAATACGTTAATTATAAATTCCTTCATTCAATATGAAATCGATATGAATCAAATTCTTATTTATTAATGACGCAATTCAGAAGTTAAATAATATTCGTGTAGGCCTGATGATGACCCAGGTAAAGGATCGAAACATGCAGCGACACGAATAAAAACAAATGTTGACACAGTAGTGTATTTTTTCCCTTCTGACTATTTGTTGTGCCACTCTCCCAAATTATATCTTTCCGAGAAGGTGGGGTCCCTTGCCCATGAGCATTATCCAATTGGGTGTTTGTCATGTGGTCAGCTAGTGAAATACACAAGTACATGTGTGAGGGTATGCAGGAAATAAGTTAATTAAATGTAGTGTTGAGAATATGGGTAAGATGTACAACATGAATATACTTGGCTTTCGAAACTCTTTCTGCTTGAAGTGAGGGACACTTCATTATCACTTATGGTAGATGCAGTAGTATTGTGTTTGTGTGCGGCAGATACGTTCGTAACATTCCCTTGGCAAATATTCTTGCATCTGTTGTTATGTTCCTCCAAGCTGTACTGCTCTGAAGGTACTTGATATTTTTAACTGTGGTCTAAGTAATGTGACCGCCTCTGTGGTCTAGTTGTAAGAGTTCCTGGATAAAGATCCAGAGGTCCCGAGTTCGATTCTCGTCGCTACCAGATTTTCTGTGAAGTAGTGGGTCTGGAACGGGGTCCACTCAGCCTCATGAGGATAATTGAAAACCTGTTTTAAGGAAATAGCGGCTCCGGTCAGGAAAACCGAAATTAACGGCCATGGGGATCCTTTGCTCTGACCACGCAACACCCTCTATCCACTAAAGTTGGCACTAAGTTCGCTGACAAGCGGCGGTCACTCGGTCGGTATAGTTCGCTTGCGGACTAATACCTCGGAGTTTGTTTTGGTATAATGTAGCTGTCTTGTTGGTGTGGTGTGGAATCTTGCTCCTTCTGCCTCAGTTTTGCTCGGTGAGGAGTGTGTCTCAGCTGAGGACTGTATGAGCACCAGTAGCAACAGGAGTACGGAGTGCTGGCAGGGTGTGTGTTCATGTCCGGCTGGCTTCAGGTTCACACCAGATAGGAAGGACTGTATCAAAGCTGGTAAGGATAGAAGACAAATCTCTCTAAAATAAACTTTATTTTTTCTAGCGTTTTTTTACAATTTAACCCATCTCTTGCATAGACATTCTTGAAGAGTTAATATGCTCCAGGTAATAAAATTATCTGTATTTTTTAAATCCGAATTGTAACTTCCACTTACTAAAATTTTTAATATTTTCCTCATCCCGAGGCAGAAGAATTCAGTCCACATTCTCGTACAATATTTAATTATATCCTTCTATATACACTTAGGTCCCAAATGATATCTCCAAATTTTCCTGCTTTTTAATTGCATTCTGTTTAAAAAGACCGTCATTGTCTCAGTCTATAAGGGGTCGAATGTTTGGATGGGAGTGAATATTTAATTGAAAAGATTGTGGAAGGCAGTGGTCATGGCCTAATTCTAAGTGTTATCCCGGCATTTTCACAGAAGGACTAATATAAAGAAAGATAGACCTCAGTCAGGCGTTCCGAACGAGATTGTAAGAGGGAAACTCTAGTCAAAAGCATTATAACTTTTGCCAACGTGTATGGTCAGACTTCCCTACTAACATTTTACATGTATTTGGGAACAAATATTGACCAGGAATAATCACCTCTTATAAATTCTTATAAATTTGGAGAATTAGCCAGCGCTTCTATGGCTTGTAATCTCACCACTGAGATGTGCAAGTAGATCTCGATGTTGAAGAATTATTTTGGATTACGAAAGATTATTTTGGCCAATAAATACCTTCAGTAATAGAAGTCAAATTGTTGACGAGTCACATTAATGCCCTTGATCGCTCCTTGTATCTCTCCAACCATGTACGTATTCACACATTATGTTTATAAATCATTTCGTTTCCTCTTGACAGCAATCGGTGATCCGTGTCAGAACAGTCGCGAATGTCACGTGACCCCTCACACGAGAATATGTGACAACAATATCTGCAAATGCAGTCGGCTCTACGTTCCATCCAAACAGAATAACAACACCTGCCTGAGAGGTAAAGTATGGACCCTCTGTAGGAGCTCAGGTCCTCACAGCAGTCGTTATGAACAGTTCTGTCTTCTAGGATATAGCGCCATGCAATATCTCGCCTCCATCTTCAAGGTTAAAATAATGAGGAAAGTAACAAGTGAGCGTGATGCAGGCAGACAGAGCTCTTGTAGAAAGCAGTCTTCTGGGATTTGGCACCGTGTATGTGTGGTGTTAACCGACGTTTCGGAGGAACGTATCGCCTCCATCTTCAGGGTAGAAGGAAAAATATAAGAAATCCGCAAGCGAAGAGACCGTGAGAACAGGTAAAAGCAGCACCGGTTATCACGGTCTCTTCGCTTGCGGATTTCTTATATTTTTCCTTCTACCCTGAAGATGGAGGCGATACGTTCCTCCGAAACGTCGGTTAACACCACATATATACGGTGCCAA